ACCAATTGGCTGATGTCAGTTCCAGTTTACAATGATCAGATTTTAGTTAATTTATTCGGGCACCGAAAAATCTAGAAACCTTATCAATGAAATAACTGCTTCAGCAATAACACAAATACAATCTCATCGCGCCTCCGTGCTCTCTCGCCTGCACCGCCAATGTGAGACTTTGGACTTTTATTTCCAGTAATGAGAAAAAAAAATTATTAGCATATTCATTTAATTTAAGATTTAAGATCACATCGCCAGTCTCAGTTCCTCATTCTCATCAGAGCACCTTTTTGTGTTCTCGGGCTGAAAACTCTTTCATAAAACCTCAGACAGCCTCAGTTAGACATAGTTTTTATTTTTTCTTTATGTTTGTTATGTTTATTGTGAAAGACAGCAGCACTAATCTTAAAGGTCTGTAACATTTAGGAGGATCTATTGGCAGAAATTGATAATATTCAATATTCTAATCATATATACACGTAATAAATAATATTCATAAGTATGTTTCCATTAGTGTATAATCACCTGAATGTAAGAATCATTATGGATTTCTCTGTTACTCCTCACTGGCTGTAGATGGCATTTCATAAGGCGCCACTAAATAGTATAGCAATTTAAATACTAGAGACCCTTTCAATCCGAATTCCAAAACTGTTTGGTAGTAAATCCAAAGAGATCTGTCTTGCTGTGTATCATATTGCCACACTCTCACTTGATCCCCGCCGGTGCCCCCGCACACTACGGAGGCTACTGGTGCTCTATCATATTGATTCCCGATCTTGATTGATTATCAATTAGTAACCACCGCAAGAAGCAAGAAGAAGAAACTCCCACCGTATTGCGCGCGAAACTGCGTTTTCTCACTCCTTTTGTTTCTTTAACACACACCACACCACCACAGCGGCATGAAAATACACGCTTCCATGCACATGTCGGCGGACCATGCACAAGCGGAGAAGACTGGGTTGGACGCTGATGGGGCCTGGCTACGTGTACCCAGCCGCCCCACTGAGCCAGAGTGTTCGCGGGCTCTACCCGCGCGGCTGATGCGTCTGCTCCACGCGCACCCCGCTCGGCACTGCGACCAGCAGCGCGTGACAACTGCACCTCTCGCAGCTAACAGTCCCACCACTCCATATTTTGTGCCGTCTGTGGATTGAACGGCGACCCTCCGGCTTCCCAAGCCCGAGACTGCCGCTCTATCTCATATAATACCCCACCCACCTCCATCTCTCTTCTCTACTAAAAGCAAGAACACTCTCTTGTCTGTCTGTGTGTGTGTGTCGGACTGCATTTTAATAACTGTTCAGCCATGATTCAGTGAGTGGAGCGCAACTGTCGCAACTGTATATATCTGTCGAAAAAACGATTTTTTCAGTCCAACCCCCGATCTACATACATACAGGGCTCTTATAAGCACGTCTATCTGAACATTACTGCATTGTACGATTCAGGGAAGTCTTCTCCGATGTCGATGAGACTTCTTCAGGGCGTTCAGGATCAGTGAGTCAACGTCACTATTTAAGGTTGATTCTTCATGGTAGTATCTTCACAGGGGAAAGATGGACGTGTAACGGGCAATTCCACCCTGTTTGCACTGAACTCCTTCCCTATGTCTAAGAAACACAAGATCTCAGTTAGAAATTGAGCTCCAAGTAATCTACCATATGTAAGCTTATTTTTATCAGCGTCTTAGCTACCATTGTGTAGAAGGGGTTTAACTATAACTTCAATATGAGACCTCCAACGTTCTTCTGCTGCCAGTGGCGATTTATATGTGTTTCTATGTAGGGCGATGCAGGGTTGGATATTCCAGATAATCCAAAGGGATGTGCACGTTATGGCTCCTTAAATGCATCTCAGCTTCGCCTACGTGTCCAGACAGTCTGTGCACCGCTTTTACCTTTTCTTGAATTCTTGCAACATTTTTTGATTCTGGGTTACTTGGGCTGCACCCTTAACTTAACCCGGCATATAGAACTGGGTCACAGGGAAGAATTAAGAGTTGGAAAAAGAAAAACATTGAATTCTAAATGTGCTTGTAATTTTTCCCAGCGTTTCCCATTGGCTAAAAGTGATGCTGTGTGCGGAGTGCGAGCAACAGGACGCTGACTGCAGTTAATTTAATGTCACTGGTGTCACTATTAATGGTTATCCAACCTTTACATTTTATTTCCCTCTCTGTGCAAACTCAAATAATGATTAATAATAATGTACCTTTTCACGTAGCTTTATGCTCCTGTAGACATTCTTTATATCTTTTTTGATTTCAGGAAAGGCCTCGTCAATTTTGGTGAGAATGGCCACTTGAGGGATTCCTGCCGGAAGAACAAAAAACTTCAATGTGAACTCATTATATTTGGCATTTCTCCAAACTGACCACAGCAGCTGTTCTCTCTGAGGATGGAAACTAAAAAATAAACTGAGAACTAGTTTAATTTGGGTGTAATATCACTTTAAGATGTTGAAAAGAAGAAAACATGGTGATTTTTGCTCTCACCCAGTTCATTGGCCTCATCTCTGATGTCCTGCATTACTTCCAGAACTTCGTTCTTCATCAGAGACAATGTGTTGGCATCAATAACAGAAACCAGAACATGGACTTTGTCGTTCACAGTTGGGGATGTGTTGTAGTATCGATCCTCCTTTGATATCTTACATTCAGGATTGAACTGAAAAACAAAGTCACATCTAGTCAAAGGTGGACTTGAGATTAATATGCTGGAAATTACATTATTGCTTTCCTTTAAACTAAATGTTGTCAGAGTTTTGAAAAGTGCAGTAATTTTTACCACATAACCGTCTTTCACATGTCCCTTCATCAACCGAGTGACATCTTTCACGTGGATTCTTCTGTTTCTGCGGGTGTCGTTTTTTAGACCCATCATGTCATTGAGGACAAAAGATCCATTTTGGATCTTGTAGGTTGTGTACTGTGAACAAATGGAGGAAAATGCAGTTATCACACTAATTCTGTTTGATTCAACTTATACGTTTCTGTTGCTTCTGTTCAGAGGTACATTAACTTCAATCCAGAAATACAGAACAGGCTTGCCGGAGGAGAGAGAATGCACAGGTGTATCCTTTGTGAAGGAACTTCTTCAGATTGTGCCTGACGTTGTTTACTTGTGTATTTCGTCCATAGAAATAATGTAAAAAAGTGTTTCTCTACTTTAAATCTCTTCTAACCTGCTTCTAACGGACTGACTTCTGGTGGTCTGCGCACAGTATTTTATTTTGAAAATTGACCAGATTCACTCAGCCGTTCATTCCTGCCAGTGCGATCTGCTCTGTGCGAGTGGGTTGCAGCTTCTGTCAAAGATATACCAGCAGGATATTCTACACAGAGCGGAGCAGAAAGACACTTCTGGTGGCTGTGGCTGTGGCCGGTAGAATTTGGGGTTTAGGATTAGAACCATTAATACTTAATTACAGCTTTGCTACATTTTCAGAAACAAAAATCTAGATGACTTCCTAAATTAAATATTCTGCATACCTTTTTGGTGAAACAGCCTTTGTTGGCATTTTCGGCTGCAGCCCGTCTGCACATTTTCCCTTCTAGGACACTGATAACAGAGTTGATGAAACTGGACTTTCCAACTCCAACCGGCCCATGAAGAAGAATCCGGAGCTGCAGGCCTTTAATATGAGGTTTGAAGTCCTGAACAGACTGCAGGGCACTCTGTCTTTCTCTGCTCAGGAAAATAAACATTACGTAATAATAATAATAATAATAATAATAATAATAATATAAGATAAGAAAACCTTTATTTGTCCCGCAATGGGGAAATTGCAGTTTGCAACAACATACAGAAAGGGCAGAATAAGAGATAACAAGAGCAAAGAGTAGCTTGTAAAAGATAAATAATGAAATAAAGTAGCATTGCACAGACTGGTGTCAAACAAAAGGGCTATATTTGGGATGTTTGTAAAAGAGAAAAAAAAGAATGTGCTATTTCAGTTTCCTGTGAAGTGTGTTTAAAAACACTCACCCCCAGTTTATTTCCCTCCATGGTTCATCGAGAACTGAAGTACAAGACAAGTGTTAAACAAATAAAGTTGATGTTATTGAACAACAAGTGAAAAAAAGGTAAATCTTACGTGATGGTGGTGGAGGAGCAGGTTTGGAGTTAAATATTCCCATTGCTGCAAAAGGAAAGCAATAATCAGAGCTCATGTTTAACAAATTCATTTTATTTTTGTTTTAAATCATGTAATTATGTTTTTGTGTTACATTATAAGTTCACACATAGATCTTTAAAGTGTTTTTATCCCTGATTCAATACCAACAACAAAACAGCAAAAGCTCAAGCTGAAACTTATAAAAGGATGAATCTAAAACAGGGGTCTCAAACTTAAATTGGCTTGGGGGTTTTATTTTAATATATGAAAGAATAGTTTCGAGTAATAATATTTTCAAAAATATATACAACACATAATAGGTGTGCTCCAATCAGGAGGCCCAGCAGCGATTGCTGGGTGTATTTTAAGCCTTTTGTTTATATTCTAGTATATTAGTATATTTAGATATTTATAGGTCATTTCTTGTTTCACCATTTTAATATTGACATTAATACTTGATTCTCTACCTTATTTGGGTGTTTTAGTTGCAAAATACTTTATGCTGACACACACACACACAC